GATATGGAGGGTGTTGGGTAGGTCAAGTGAAATTTTCTAATTTTTTATAGAGCCTAATAATTCTAAAGAGGTTGAGTATAGACCCCTCGACCCTTACTTTAGCTGCAGCAATCTAAAACTTTCGATAAAATATTCAATAAAAAAATCTTCTTTGCCTTTGACCTTTCCAAAGTGTATCACATAAATCCCAAAAAAAACACCTTAAACATCCTTTCAAAAAATGCGTACATCCTCGATTTTAGCACGCTATAAACCACCTTAAGATATCGATTCTAACGCAATTCAAACACCAAAACCCCTCAGAAAGCGATAAAAATAATCGAATTTACTTTAACTTCCCAACTTTAATGCCAGCAATGAGAAGAAAAAATATCAATTCCATTAAAGCTTCCCTCGCAATCGTCTACACATTTACAACCATAAATGACCGTATTTCATTCTAAAATATCTCTATGTCTATATCTAAAGCCTATGAAAAAAAATATAAAATGAATATAAAATACATAGAATTTATATGACTAAATAATGGCATAATGGTAGCACTCACAGTATCTCTATATATATGTATATGTATGTGTGTGTGTGGTCACTATAAGCCAACAAAATCAGGAAGTTGAGTTTAATTTTATGAGAGAGATTTTATGAATACTTAAAATTTTCATGTGCCCTTCATGCAATAGCAATTTATCCACCGAAAAAAAAAATATTTATCACTCATTCCATATTCTTCTCTCCTCGATGCTTTTGCCTGCTTTCTCTTCTGGTTCGCAACAGCAGTGACCGAAAACTCATTAACCCTTTAAACTGATCCGGAATGTTTCTACAATTGCTGCTTCATTATGATATAGAATAACAAGCAACAACAACTGTAATGTAATAGCATTCACGGTGGAATGAGTGTGCTGAAAAATTTGATACAATTTTTGTCTTCCTCGAAAGAGTCTTTAACAACGACAACAATGAGTGAAATGAAAGAGCCAGTTAAGATAAAAGCTTAGCGATAATTTGATATCGCTTTTCTGATATTCTTCACAAATGACTTTTCTGACACGGCATTGAAGATACTTGCATGATTTTGTTTTGGAGGTTGAATTGTCTGATTTTAAGTCGAAGCTGTTTTGGGGTGACTTTAAGATTCTTTTGTGATTTAGTTTTAAATTTGAGGAATTTGTGGTTTTATTTAGGCTATGTGTTCGATTCTTAAGCAATATGGTCTTTTTAATATTAATTTAAATGTTTTGACAGGTCCTGATTCATTTTAGTACAAAATTATATTGGGGTCGTTCAATAATGATGTCAATCAAGCAATGGGATTACAAAACATCTAACATTCAATTCTGACAATCATAAAATCTTAGGCTGGGTTCAAAACTTAATCATTAAAAGCCCATAACAACTATAATCTAATTGACATCATTTTTAAAAATATATTTAAAATTCTACATTAACCCTCAGAATAAGCAAAACATTAAATAAAATTAATTCTCGATTAATCCATCAATTATCACCCAATATCTTAATCCACAAAAAATATCACAACCATAGCATCATCCAAAAAGTACTTACAAGTCATTCCATTAAAAATCAACCAAACCAAGTCACATAACATAAATGACAGAGAGAAAGACGACAGTCGTGGATTCACTTTTCTTCCTTATCATGATAAATCAAACCATTAGCAGCAATTTTCATTTTTAACTGTAAATGTCTCATGATATACATATTTACATAGAAATATATAGCTAGCTAGCTATTCTGGTGTGATGATGGAAAAAAAAAATTATAATGGAAAAAAAGGCAACAGCAGCAGTTTCAAGCTTTTTTTTTTATCATTTTAATGATTATTTTATGCATAATGTAATCATCACAAAAAGACTATTATGAGATTCTAGATACAATATCAACCACACGAGTGTGTGAGAGATGTGGAATGGAGTGGAACATCACGAACCACTTTACCATCATATCATTGTCATTGTCATCGTTGTCGTTATTATTATCCTCTCATATGTGCAACTTTTTTATTTCATTTTATGGATTAATATTAAATAAATAAAAAATAGTGGGAGATGATAATCCTTTGTGAGTTGCTTTGGGGTCGTTCAGGCATTAGGTCAGATTTTTTGACTCCTTACTAGAATTCAGAAATTGAATTGAGTAGTCACAGGCTCAAAATCCCCACATCCTCTTGTAATAGACGTCACATCTGAATAAACCCTTCTAAAACATTTTTTTTTCGTTTTAAAAAACATCTGCAGCCACATGTCTGTGTAAAAAGCACCCTCAATATGATGAAGGTTATCACAATTGACAATTATGCTGGCTGTAACATAACTCAACTACTTAATTGAATGAGTACTTAAATAAATAATCGGAAGTACATTCAGTCACAGTCACACAGGCTAGAAATAATATTCACGGGAAAAAAAATATCGTAATTTATGAAATACTTATCGCATGAGATTGGCCATGATTCATGATATAAATAAGTAGTAAATTTGTAAAACGTATGACATACAGCAATTCGCATGTGTTTTTGACAGCTCAGATATATCTGGGTTGAGAATGAATGAAAGTAATTTTAACAGAAAAACATACACGATAATAACAGTAAGCATGTAGCATGCAATGCCATTTATTGCTTCAGTGTCCCAACCTCTCCTCCTTCGGCTCATTGGGTGTCTCTATTGTTGTTGTTGTCGCCCTTTTTTTGTTGTTTTTAAGTGAAAATGAAACAATTTCAACTTTTAATTGATAATTAAATGAAGCTTTCTTACTTGCTCCACTTAAATGTTTGCTTTTTATGATGATTTGTAGTAAATCATGCGATAATTATTGTGAATGAGTGAAAGTTGATTCAGCAAATTATTTGGATTGTTTTTCGTGGTTCTTTTGGGACTTGGGAGGGGTTTAATGTTAGGTTTTAGTGATTTTAATTATTATTGTTCGGTAAATGGTGTTTAGTTCTTGTTTAAAGGTGCTCGTAAGTTTGAATGAGTGTGAATCTTATTGAAAATTGCAGAATTAGTGTCTTTTGACTAAATTTGACGATTATGAAAATTTCTAACCTTAAAGTAGCTTAGAATGGCCTTCAAATAGCACAAGCAACACTAAAATCACTCAATACTGCAGTCACACGCCTCTCATTAAATTTATTTTACCTCTGCCGACTAAAATACTCATTAGTTAACTAACCAGGCAATAAAAGTCAACACATTCAAATCACATTCTGCAGAAAAACGTATAAATTATGGAAATAAAGCGCCCTTTTCTTTTAGGCTCAAGTTTATAGCTCATAAAATTATGACAAAATGGAAGAAAAAGTTGAACAACCTGCATTGTGTAGAAATTTTGTATTTATGGGAAAATGGGGTACGTTGAGAAGTTACGGCTTACGTTAAAAAGTTTGATGGAGCTTTCATACTTTCAAAGTTCTAGCTACACCGCTATGTCTCAGCAACAACGCTGAGACGAAAAATAAATAGACCTTAAAATCAACGAAGAACGTAATTTACGAATCAATTCAAGACAATCAAAAAATTTTCAAGTTTGCCCCACACCCTCCCCTCACAAAATGAAAGACAATTTCCAATATTTCATAATTCTTTTGTCTTTCACAGTCATTTCTCGTTCCAATAAGCTTCTTTCAACTTTTTTTATCGCTCAAGTTTTCATATAAAAATGAAATTTATCGTGCAATTGTCTCACTCAACTCTTATATTCTTAAATTCAATTCCCAATTGAATGTGTGGATGATGACAATCATGATATTGATATTTGAAGAATGGATGAATCGAAACAATTCAATTGAGCTTATTGTACTCAACATAAAGCTTTTAAATAATTTGTTATCTCATTTATATTGTTATGCTATTAACGAACATTTTCATCCTTTTATCTACTTAACTAGTGCAATTATTTTATTGAAGAACTTTTTACAAGTTTTAATAGAGTTTGATTTTTATGAGACCACCCCTCCAAAAACCCCACTTTTCAATGTAATTAACATCATTTAATGTCTTTCTATTGTTTATTTCTCGTAACATAAAAAAATACCGTATAAAATTCATATAGTGTCTCACTAATGCAATAAAAGATAAAAGTAAAAGGAAAAACTATCGTCACAAACTTGATTATGATGATGATAATAATGAGCAAAAGCGAGTTGGCTGACTGTTGGGATGGAGGCGGAGATAAAGCGAGAAAGGAAATATAAACGGAGCTAAAATTAAGTGAATGCAAATGTGCAGTAAAATTGTTAACGGGAAAATTCTTTTTTATTGTCCTCTTTTAGGCTTTTTTAATGCTTTTATTTTTATGGTGCTGTTGTTCCTTTTGTGCTGATTTTGATTAGATTTTAGAGGTTCTTTTGGGGAGCGGTTGGAATTAATGGATTTTTAAAGTTGCTTAGTGTGACTTCCTCTCTCTCTTCTCTCTTGTCAGTGATATAGCCAGAAAGAGAGGAATATGGATGGGGGGGTTAGAATGTAGTATTTTGGAATTGTCTTTTTTTTTTTTAAACAAAAACATGCAAGACATCTGAAAATTCAGAGAAGAAACGGATTGACCAAATATTGGCTGTATCCTGCTTCTTACTTTAAAAGCTGAGAACACCTTTGGATCTGGTGCTGGTCAGAATGATCAAACATGGCTCTATAACAATTTTCAATGCTTTTTAGAACTTCTTGGTCGTAAAAATTGGTTTGCCGTTTCTGAGATCGAAGTGTCTCCAGCATGTCGCACCGTGTAGGAGAACATTGCTTGACTGGAACCCATTCCATTATTATTAGGGGAACCCTGGTGTTACCCTGAAAATGATAATTCAGCCCACAAATGCCAAAAAACACCTCAAATTCTTTTCTATATCAAAATTTTATTATTTTCTTCATCAGTTCCTTTATGTCTCTAACATCCACTTAAAAAACTCCCAAAATAATTCACATTCATATTAAACTTGTACTATGTACTAGGTGTATGGTTTATCCATAACAGCAACTATATCACGAGTATAAATTTGAAGGCGATAACGTCAAACATGAATTGCCACTTTTGAGGATGCCTTTGAGCAGTATAATATCATCGGGTGTCAAATTCCATCCAGACAATTGTCCTGCAATTTTGAAAATTGAGATGAAAGAATTGCTTATTTTGTGGGTTGGTCCTGTTGTGGGGAATTTTGTCAGAATTTAATGAAGTTTTTGTTCTTTTGTTTAAGTTAAAATTTTGAATTTTTTTCATCCAAAAGTAAGTTGAGCTGTAATTCTGTCAAAATTCAGCACAAAGGACTCGACAAAATTCACAAAATATTTAGTTACAGTGTAAATTTCAAATTCTAATCCATTCATTTACGTAAAATGAATGTGCATGAGAGAGGAAAAAAGGATTTTAAGGGGAGGATTATTTTAAAGAATTTCAAGTGCTCTATGTCTATATGCTCACATGTCTTATATATGTCTTATATATGTGGGGAAGAATAGAGACAGTAGTATTGAAGGGCTTCAAAAAATTGTATATAATAAAATTTAAATATTTTACCAATAGACAATAATTCAGGAAGTTGAAGCAGTAGTTCTATCGTTACCATTGTTAAATTAGATGCAGATGTAAACCAAATGTCCTCTAATTTATTGAAATTGTAATCCAGTAAAATGCTGCATGTAGGAAAAATGAAAGAAAATGAATGAGAATTTTGTATAAATAACATTAAAAGACAAAAGAGAACCTACGTAGACCGACAAAGTACAACAGCACATGATAAAGTGTATAAATGTAAATAAATACGATAGGATATTAAGTAAATGTAAATGACACGAACAAGTAGTAAGTATTGCAGGAGGGATATTAAAGGTATGATGCAGAGTTGGTTGTACGAGCGTGACTATGGTTTTTTTGGGCCTAATCGACTACACCTCCTCCCCCCTTCTGTGTTCAGAACGGAGAGGGGAACGGGGTTTACAGAAGTAAACTTGATTTAAAGCATCGAAAAAAAGCCTATGGAACTTACGTCAATTGATACAAAAATGTCCAGACACTAAAACGTTTCTCTGTTAATACCATGCAAGTAGTTCGGATCCCACTATAAACTGTAGGTCTAAAGGTTGTGGTACAATAGATTCTGTTCTAATTTGAATCGCAGTGCCTCCAGCTGAAAGGCTGGGCCCTTCACACATTATTATTATTATTAATACCATGGCCCTTAATTTTAAGAACTCAATGCATTCAACCCTGCTTCAAACATAAGTTTGCAGGACATGTATGATATCATATTTGATGATGGGAAATGTGTGAGGAAATAAAATATAAAGACGATAAAATAAAATAAATAAGAAAATGTTTCATGAGCAGCAAGTTGCAGCAGCAACATCACATGGATATTCAATGAGTACAAAAAAAAAGTATCAAATAGAAATCTATCCTTAAAGGATGTTAAGGATGGAAGGAGGAATTGAATATGTGAAAATAATATGAAATAAATAAAAGTCGAGTAGGTGGAGATTGGCAAATAAATAAAAAGCTAGTCAGGTATAGATTGAAGATTAAGAAGATGAAGTTACAGAACCTGCAATTTTCATTTAAATCTAAATTGAGGAAAATAAATATTCTTGATTATTGGACGAATGAATGGAGTATATGGAACGTGTGGGAGATTGAAGGATATTAGAAATTAATAATTCAGAGGATAGAAAATTTCTAGAAGGTTTATGGCTCATCCTTTTTGGATTAAAATATGAAAATGCCTTTGTAAAATTTTCAATTATTGATGCTAATCTGTGCCTGACTTTAGTGCTTGAGTTTTGGGGAGTTTTTGATTTCGGGAAGGAAGGTTATTTACATAGTTAATCCATCGAAAAGACACCCTATTGTACAAAACAATTTCCCCAAAAATCATCGACTCATTCCTTAAATCTTCACTAATACTTCCCGTACATTCATCATAAACCGTTTCAATTTTTCTTTTTCCACAACTACCCACCTTATCATCTCTTCCTCCGTAAACGGCACTTGATCGACAGCTAATCGTCTTACCGTCTGATGACAATTGCATATTAAATGTTGTAAGGCTATAGCACTCATTGGACTATTAAGTATCTCTAAGCTTTTCAAACGTTTAAAATCCTCCTCGTACGCAATGTTGAGTGTGAGCTCATCCATCATGTAAAAGTCAAGATCGATTAAATTCGGACAATATTTAATCAAATGTATAACATCCATAATACCACGTCCCTTCATAAAAGTCAAATGATGAAATTGTGATCCCATTGTTTTGAGTATGGGAATAATTTCATCACATTGGAAACGATAAATCTTTAAATGTTGAAGATTACGTAGCTTTGTCAAGTGATGAAGAATATTAGAGTCAGGTGAATCAAAATAGAGATGTTTGAGATCGGGACATGTCTTGCATATGGCATTAATTGTAGATTCCATTGTACATGTATCATGTATGTATTGTAATTTAGATACAAATGTGGGATTTATGCTGTCAATAATATACTGTAATGATTTGCCAACAAACGAATAGCAGCCAAGAGTTGTTAGATTTTGTACGAAAATCAATAATGATGCAATATCGACATGATCAATATTCTCCTCACCCAATGTTCCAATATCGATGCATGTTAATGTCTTGCTAACACTTGATGTGCACAAATAATCAATTCCAATGTCTGTTATATCCGTTTCACCCGATATATCTAAATATAATATATTCTTTTGATGATTCATTAAATGATAAAGGACATCATCATTTGCAATGTATGGAATGACCAATTTTATCAAGTACGGTAAATTCTTAATAATGGAAAACATCAAACTCATCATTTCCTCTCGTATCCATATTCCTTTCAAATTCAAATAACGTATGCCTCGTCCCTGCATCGATATCACTTGCAATATCTTCTCATAATACGGATATGGAAAGATTTCTGTTGTCAATGACTTAACATTATGATTAAGAAGCATTTGGAGACAAACGAAGCGTACTGATGCCTGCAAATTATCTGTACTTAATATTAACTTGAGGAGTTCTTCATAAATTGTATGTGTCGCACCATTAGCATCTAGATATGAATTTATTTCGACCATAATTAGTGACATATCCAATTCATGTAAATTAAAATTTGTTGTCTCCATTGTCTCGGCTACTATACAATATCCAACTCCTGATGTTATTATGTTTGCCAATCTACCCAATGACAATTCACTCAAGCTTATTACTTTAGTTTTCTTTGACATCTTTCTTATGGTTTTATTTATTTATGGACTTTTATTTTCTTGTTTCATTTTTTTGGGGGTCTCTTTTTATTTATGTTGGGTGGCTCTCTACAATAAAATATTTACAAATGTTGTGATTAATATTTATTGACATTAATGTGTATGCAAACATGCGTAAATTTGTGAATGGGAAAATATTTTTATGAATAGCTTTTTGTCTACTCATAAAGTGTCATTAATTATTTTTATATTTACTTTGACTTTCTTCTTTTATGTTTCTGTTTTGGTTTGATTTGAGGTGAATAATTTTTAAGGGGTTAGGAGTTGGATTGTATGTTGGGGAGTGCTTAAAATAATAATCATGAGGACAAGAAAGAGTCGGATTGTTTTGAAAGCAATAAATTGATAGAATTTTATAGTTGTAAGTTTTAATGAGGAGTGAACTGTGTTTATACAATTTGAATTGAAAGGAGGTCATTATTATTTACTATACGGATAACAAATACCAATATAGGACTCTCGACTAGACTGTCTATCTGTTATCATTGATCAAAAATAAAACTAGCTTTGAACTGTTGCTAATTCGTCCTGGAAACGAATAAAACTGAAATATATCTGGTAACCCTACCCTCAACTATGCCTCAAGCTGCTTAAAATCACGACCCTCAGCTTCAATCAATTCTTCAATCACAAATTTCCAGAAGCCCCTTATATTCAAAAAAATCACTCAGCATGATAATCAATCCATCACCACCTCATCCCCAATAACGCAAACAAAATAACCGTAAAAATTTCGTCATAAATAAATTTTCTATCTGGAACGGATATGAAGCAACCACTTTGTCTTAATGAAAGTAATGAAAACTAAGTTTTTCTCTTTCTCGCCTCGTTAAGTCATTAATGAAAAATAGCATTCTCGAGTATGTCGCTCAATTTCTTCAATCCACTTAGTCGCTTTTCTCTTCTCCCGATGATTATTTTTCTCTGTGTCTCTGCGAGCATCTCGCGCTAATATGTCATAACGGAAAGTTTTCAATTTAATTACTCTTTCCAATATAAGAGTGGATGTATATGTGGTGTGTTTCACAATTATCTATCTTTTTTCTCCTTAGCTGCTCTTATTTTTCGCCTCATTAGCAATTTTTCTCGTCTTGTGCATTCAGAAATTTTACTTCCATTTCCTCACTCCGCATTGCCATCTCAATTTAATAACCAATCAACTAAACTTACTAATTGAGTAAGTTACACTCGCTTATGAATTGTTGCTGGATATATGAGCGTATAATTATCATTATTTCACGATGATATTAATGAAGTGTTTAAATGATAGCAGAAGTGGCAATTATAATTTGATTATAGTGATGGATAATTTGCTTCTTCCTTGTCGTTGTCGTCGTTTTGGTTGTGCGAGTACACGAAAAAAATTTCAATTATCGATGGAGCTAGCGCTAATGAGGATAATGAATGAAATGTGATTTGAATATAATTTTTGGAAGAAAGGTTTATCTCGAAGATTCAGTTGAGATTTTTGTGATAAAATAATGTTTTTTTTTGGGGGACTTTTGAATATTTATGAGCTTCAAATGTATATCTTATCCTTAAATCCACAGCAATCCCTATTGTTGTGTTTTTAATATAGGATATTGAGCTATATGTACGAAAATCTGCTGGTATCAAAAGTTAGAGTTCTGAAGACAAATAAGAAGGCTTCAGATCGAACAGTCTCATTTTTGAGAATGTTGGTTCGATTCCTAGCTGACAAATTTCACTTATCATTATGTAAGTGCCGTCGGTTATAACAAGAACTAGTTTCAAATCGACTCCAAACAACAATAGGCTTCAAAATGTAGCCTTTGTCCTTAGTGATACACAATTCATGCCATTAAACCTTGACTACAGTTTTCTTGAAGGACAATAAGACTCTGCTGAGTATAGCTTGTATTTACTGCCATAGACCATTAGATACAAGACTAGAAAAATTAAAATCTAAATTAACAACCCTACTTTCGAGTTTTCCTACAAATCATCAGCTGTGCATCACAATCTCAGCTGTTGTGTACACAAACCAAAAATAACAATATGACGTAGTTTTTCAAAAACAAAAGTTTTATATGTTTTTTATTGCCACCAATAAAAATAATGAAGTGGAAAATTAATTAAAAATTTGTCTAGCAAGATGAAAATTTTCATTACAGACGAAATTTCGTTTCAATTTTAAAAATCAAAAATAATCACGTCTGAAAAAATGCTGACGACTCCGGAAATATCGCGAATTCTTCTTTAAAATGTGTGCAAGATTTCTTTTGGGGTATGAAAAATGAGGATTGAATATATTTTGGATTTTGTTTACTTATTATTATAAATAGTACCTATAAGATTTATTAAAACTAGAAATCTGTGGCATCAGAATCAGAAATGGTGTTTTTTGACTTAAATTGGAACTGTGGTTGGTTTTTAAGGCTCCATCAACTTGAATCCTAACCATGCAAACATTTAATTTTGACTAGGTTTAAGGAGCACTTAAAAACCGGCTTAAGAAATGACGCAGTAGTAAGAAAAATTAGGAAAAATTATTTAAACTTCAAACTAGCTTTGATAATCATGAAAAACTCTTTTAATAATTTAAAGTAACTTGACTTTCATTAAATTGACACTTTTTGATTCACAAGCTAGCAGCAAAATTATGCAACTTTCATAGTCATCTTCACAATCAATTTACCTGCACACTAATCCTCAATTCAGTCAAATTTTACTTTCTTCAATCCAATAATTCAAATAAATTCGAAAAATTTTCCCATTAAAAAAAACACAAAAGTCAACCAACTTTTTCTCTCAATTAAGTCTCAAACTTGACTAACTGTGGAATTTTTTTCGTGCCTCTAAAAGATTTTCATTTCTCATCTTTTCTCACTTGAATGAAAATAAAAAAAAAATATAAAGAAAAATCATCTCACAAATTATTTTATTTTCGATGAAAAGAAATTTCTTTTTTCACTCGACAGTGTCGTTCTAATGTTGTGTTTTGTTGTTCATGTGATGCAGCTATTTTTGTGTGAAAACAGAAAAGAAAACGTCCGTAAAAAAGTGAGCAACAAGAGAATTTTTGTGAAAAGCAATTTTCGGTGCCAAGAACACGTCTCAGCTCTTCTCCGTTGATTTAATTTTCGCCTCTGTATATATAGACATGAAAAAAACATTACTTTATACTCAGACATAGATGATGTTGATGATGATAATGCGACATTGCTACAAATAAAAATGTTTGGTTGGGAATGACTTGTGGGAATGTTTTGGGGTTCTATGGCGCATAATTTGGGGTTCGATTGTTTAAGATTAAAAATTTTAAGGGTATTAAGTAGTTAAGTCTTTTCAAAATAAATAAAAATTGAGAATAGCTTAGTACCTTAGGACCCTAATCTGGGTTAAAATAATTTAAAATTGTTGGGATTGTTCAATAAAATAAAAAAATTTCTGCTTACATTGCTAAAGAACTCGATTACTTGAGTTAAACCTTTCAATGCAAAAGCCATATTCCTGCCAATCAGACAATCTTAACCCTATTCAGCTCCATCGCATAAAAAAATTCATCGACAATCCTCACTAAAAAAAAGAACTCAAACAAAAAATAGTTTTTTTCGTGAGCACAGCAGCAAAAAAAATGAAAATGTTTTTTAAAATTAGATTTTAAACAGTTTAGAGAAGAAAAAAAATTGCTACTTCATCTCATCCTCTCAAGTGCTCAATTGTCAGCATACATACATAAACTCAGAGCCAATGTTCTTAATGAGAGTCACACACAAAATAAGTAGAAGAAAAAAAAAGTATCAAAATTTGAAAAACTTTTTCATTTGCACAGTAAAGAAAAGATGGAAATTGAAGTGCAGTATGCAATAGCTCTCACACACGAGTGGATGGCTATTTTTAACAATTTTTTTTCTTACTCCAGGAAAATATTTTTGTGAAAAAATGTGTAAACAATTTTTGAGAAATTGAGGACAAATTTTTTTGTGGGGTCGTTATCAAGTGACGTCTACTGGGAGGATTTTAGTTTATTGTATGCAATCGAAGGGTGTTTTAGGGGTTTATAATGATTTTTCAGCGCCTCAACATCATGCCTTTAACAACTTTACAGTAAATTACACCCCCCCCCCCTCCCCCCCTTCCCATATTAATGACACATCGAGTAGTGAGTAGTGTGTTCAATTTCTCATTTCAATTTCAATTCAAATAAGTTTTTTATGTTCAGTTCGATTTGAAGCAGCAAAAAAAGTTGTTCCGAAGCTTGATAAATTTTCCATGTTGCGATACATAAGTTTTTCAAACTTTCACTAGTATCAAGGAAGAGAAAAAAAAACTTCTCGAATTGTAAGAATAATAAAAAGTGTCATGTTCGACAGAAGCTGTAGCAAAGATTTTTTTATGTCTTATGAAAAATTTAAATTTAACATTGTCAATTGCTGAATTGACTCCTTCGATATTCTCAGTCATAGTGAGAAAGTTTGATATAAACTTGAGTGAATGGTGGAATTAAATATGACGAGAAGTTTGTCATATGGAATTAAGAAGTAAGAATAAAATTGATTTATGTTTTCCAAACTTTTGATAGAATGTGGAAATTTTCACATGGTGGATTATTGAGGGGCGGGGAAGTGATCTCACTTTAAAAACACAATTATAATTTTTTTAAATCATAAATTTCTACATTTTGTCACCAAATTTTAAGCATGTCAAATATGAACAAAATTTTCAGACAATTCAAAATAATCAATACCAAAATCTCCTTAAAAACTTTCTCTTTTCCATCAAAAATTTAATTCCACGCAAACAAATTTCAAGGCCGAGAAACTTTTATAATTCAACAAAATATTGAGCATTCAGACTGACCACAAGTCCATCTCAGATTTTTTTACTGCTGCAGAATTTACTGCATTCTTGCCAAAGCCCAATTCCTCACAATCTTGATGATATTTTAATTATCTACCTAAAAGAAGCATAAAAAGTCTACAATTTTTGAGCTACGGGGTCACTTTTATAACCAGCGGTGGCTCTTTTACGACTACAATCGTAAAAACTTTTCCTTACAAATTAAAAAAAATCTCTTTAAAGCTGAATTAAACTTGAAGGAACTAAAAAATTCACAAAGTATATAGAAACTTTCTTACCTTAAAAAATTACGGATGTGACCTTTTCTCTTTAAAAAAAAGTTTGTAAATGATAGCACCTACACACATGTAAACTACAAAAAAAAGTCTCTACATTTTCTTCTTGAAACTTACTTCCCCACAGCAATTTCAAGTTAATACATAACACTTATGAGAGTTTTATGTTACCATCGTAGCAATACCATAAGGCAGTAAATTGCCGATCAGTGCCTTTGCCAGTTAATGGAATAATATATAAGTTTTGCTGCCTCCACAACATCTAATGTCTTCATATGCTCCCTTTTCTTTTGTTTCTTGTCGATTGGCACGAATTAAGAAGAAAATTCTAATTTTTTTGTTGCTTAGTGGGTAAAAGGTATCACTTCTGACTATGTTGTAAGGATGTAGCCAATGGGGGTAGGGAATTTGGCTAAGTTCCAACATTGATTGATGAGAAAAGATCATTTTCATGATTAAATTAATGCAACAAGATCGTCATAACTGCATTGTTTAAAGTTTGAAGTCATTTAACAGCAATCATCGCTGCATCTGCAGTATGCACTTACCAGACTTCAAAAACGTTACATTTTTCATCTACATTAAAGTCAAGAAGCCAATAAAAAGTAGTTCAATTGAAGATTCTCAGTTGTCTTCCTCATTTTATCTTCTTTTCCTTCTATCCATTCAACCATCCTCACCCCACTACCACAAGCAACCTCTCAATTCCATTCTCATGTCTCAACTAATGAAAGTCATTAATTTTTCAGCAAGCCAGTAAGATATGTAATAATTAGAAGCAAGCACGGTAGAATAATTTTTTCCGATACTCTATATGTGTAATTGTATCTTACATCCTCCATGAAGTAGCAGCACCCGAAACCTAAAGTGGTATAAATCTTACTTTAAATAGCAACAATAAAAATAATCTTGAAACCTCATTACTGCTTTTTGCCGTTCTTATAAATATATTAACCTAGCTGAATGGAGTGAGGTTGAGGGTAAAATGAAGCTAACTAATGGCAAAGAAGCGAATGAATTAAGATTCCACTCTTTTTTTTCATTCTTCTTGTAGTCATTGTATGGTGAAGTCAAGACTATACAATAGTTTGCCTTTTAGTGAACATGCATAATAAATAAATTTACTCATTTATCGTGGGGAGCGTGAGGCACTTCCTATTTCCACATTATAATTTTCTCTCTCTCATTCTCTCGACATATTCTGATTATTGTAATTCCTTTTTGTATGAAGAAAAAAAAAATTGCTTGTTCACATGAGCTATTCTGTTAAGTAGGTGAATAAATAGTTGGAGCTTATTTACGCATTCGAAGGATTTTTCTTGTTATTGTGGTGTTTAAATGAGTTGATGGAATTAAATTGTAATTTTTTGTTTAAGTAGCAAAGGTGAGGGCTTCTTGGAAGTTTTGGAGCTAAAAAGGGAAGACGTCATGTCTATTTAGGGATTTCTGGCAAATTTAAATTTGTAAGATGCATTTCAATTGTATAAATGACTTTGAGAGTCACCACTGGTGCTGTAGCAAGAGTTATTGGTGCTACTAGCTAAGATAAAAAAATTTAGAGCATTATTATTAGTTCCGAATCTTAAGCATCCTTTTCTTGCTACGACTTTAGGTGCTACAAATGATCCTCTACTGTGTTTTTGAAATAAAATTATAAAATATATATTGGCACAAGTCGGTTAATCGATTTGCTAAGCATGGTGCTGGATTTAAATCGAAGCTAGCACCATTCTAGAGTCATGCTGACTGGGCGCTGGATTTTTATTCGATTAATCGACTTGTGCCATTCATGAAACCCCCCTCCTTGAAGGGGGGGGGGGGCCCTCATAGAAAATTTCTGCCTTCGCTTTTTGCTTTTTGTCACTACTCTCTTTAGTGTTGTGCTACTACTGAAGTCCTTTTTAAAAATAAATTTTTTAATTTTGCATGAATTCTTAATTAAACATTCGCTTGTAATCCAAGGATATTCCAAAATTATTACACACGGACTCATAATAAAGCATATCAATCAATGAGTATTAGAAATGCATAAGCAATTCTTACAAAGTGTACAACACACTCACCTAAATCATCTCAATTGCTTCACACCCCCTACTAATCCCTTCCACCTTTAAGCTTCTCAACATCACAAAACGTTACAAAATTTCCATACAAAACCCATTTCAAAGAAACATAGAAAATTTCCTGATTGCGTAAAACGAAAAGATTTTTTTATTTTTTTAATTTCCAACCAAATCGTCGGTCGATTGTGTAATTAAAATTTATGTGCAGTCGCCGCGTGACAAAACGTGGAGCCAAGTACTTTTTTTAAAATTGTGGAAATAAAATGAAAAAAATTAACAAAAAAAAATTGTAATTTATATGAAAAAAGCGCACAGAAGATAAATTCAAATATTGCAATAATGCCGCAATGAGAGTCAGTGTATTGTTACTAAGTGAATCAGTACAAGAAGACGAAGATAGTGAAATTAAAATGAAGTACATTGCCATGGCAGTGGAAATAAAATGAAATGAAATAAAATCATTTAAATGTGCAACAACTGCTAGATTTATGAGACTTTTTTTTTTTTACTTTTGAATTCAATCCTTATGCTGCTACTCAACATCACTATGTGCTGGGGATGAAAAACACATTTTTTTACCGCTTCTGTTGCTACTTCTCCTGCTTGCCGTTTCTCTCAACTTCATTTTTTTACAATTTCCATTTCGGTGTGTAGCTATTCTTAAATGACTATGACGACCGTAAAGCTTTTATAGTGTAATTTAATTCCTACACAGTAAGCTAACGAGCAAGGCGAACAATTAACTTTTTTTTCTTCCTTCATTCTTCTTATTCTGGCCGTGTTCACTTCTTTTAGTGCCATTTTATGGGAAGTAAATGTGATGATAGTTTTGTTTTGGCTCTTTTTCTTGGCATGGCGTTGCTTGAAAGTTGAAAGGTTGGTCTGACTTTTTTGGTGACTAGTTTTGTGAATACAATATTTTTCGGGCAGATTTTTGGATGTTAAAAGGGATCAAACTTGGTTATTCAGTATAAAAATGTTATGACAATTGAATTGGTCTACATAACCTTCACTCAGTCAATGAATCTTGTTAAAAACAGCGCCTAGTACTCCTTAATTTCCTCAATCTTCCTCTTTATTACGAAATCTCCAGCACGCCTTTTATACACACCGTACCAAATTGTATCCACAAAAGAAAAAGAGATGTCTGAAAGATCTCAGATCTGAGAAAATAAAAAAGCTGTGCACAACATTAAAAACCGTAAAAATGAATGAATGAATGAATGTGAAAGGAAGGAAGGAAGGACATGAAAGAGATGAATAAAAGAAGAATAGTAAATTATTTAAAATGCACACCGCTAATGTCTGAATGTGCTAAGGAATTTTCCTCGCGATATTTTTTTCTTTATGCTATTTTTGTGTGGGCAAGCTGTGATAAAAAATTAAAGCTGGATGATTTGAAATTTGAATAATAAAGGATCCTTTAAAATTGAATTTCGTTTTGCGATGGAATATTTTTTTGAAAACTTTTTTTTGACGTCATTTGGAAAATGATGTAAATGAAAAAAACATTTTCAGAATTTTCGTGATATTGAGAAGTTTAAAGGTCAACGTGTGAATGAAGCCAAATGTGTGACTTTTTTATTGGTTTAAATGGCATGTGGATGAAGGTTGATGCTCTCGTGCTGTTCTGATTGATAGTAAATGTTAATAAATTTGGCCATAAAAGTTCCTTTCATTCTCTAAATTTTCCGATCCAGACCTTACTTCACAGCAGTGTGTCTAGGGATGGGTCCGGATAGATCCCTGGCACTCGCATCCCAATCCTAATCTAGTGCTTGCTTCACATCATTGCATCTAGAGATAGGTCCAGAGAGATTCTTAACACCCGCATCCTAATCCCCCTCAAAGCACACAAAAAGTCGTATAGTAATGAAAATTAAAAATCAAATGCACAATTAAAATGCAAATTCACAAACGTGTACAGAATGAAGGCAATTTAAATTCCTCATTTTTTTTTTGGTCGACATAAAGAAAAATCCATGAGCAGTAAAACGTAGGATGGCAACAGTATTTAAAAAAGAAAAGCCAAGAGAAGAATAAGAAGTAGAAGAAAAGTGTTGAATGTTGTGGAATTAAAATATAAATTAATGCAATCTCATCTCATGCCGCAATTTCATCATCATCTGCTTCGTTTTTCATTCATTGTACATTTTTAGTATTCGTTCGGTATACCTTCCATATCATCATCATTTCTTCTTGAAGCTTTTCATTCTTTACCAACAAATTTCTTCTCGAATTTCATTCATTATACAATTTTTGTTGTTGCTAGCTTTGTGCTGGTATGTGCCATGATACAAGTTTTTGTATAGGTATGAATAGTTGAGGCAACAGAAAATACATTTTAATGAGTAATTTAAATTAACATTTTGCAACAATTTTTGTTACTTCCTTGGAATGATTTTTAAGGGGGGCAGCATTTGTCTTGGATTGTGATGATTTTTGCATTAAATTATTGATTTGTCAAAATTTTGAATTGGAGCTTGAATAATACATGAATTAGAACTGAATTAGGGTCGGATTATAATCTTTATTCTTGATGCCTTAGTCCTTTAAGCAATCTCGAAAGAAAAATTCATACAAATCTCTCGATACGTCCAAGATAAAATTATAAAAATCATTCCAAGGGATTCATCCATTTCTCATTTGAATATGAATAGGAAATGGATGAATATACAACATATTTCTTCACATACACACAATGGACATGCTTATATTTAACTTTCATTTCTTCATTTTCTTTCTCATTTCAGGTTTCGGTTTTGTGACCTTCCAATCGGAAGATGTAGTAGATAAAGTTTGTGAAATTCACTTCCATGAAATAAATAATAAAATGGTAAGTCAGAACTGTACAAAATGCAATTTTGTTTGCTGTCATTTCCACATTTCAAACCTGTCACTCTCGCTTGAACTTCTTTCTTTTTTTTGTTATGCTTGTTCCTTCCTCTTTAAAATATTGTTATACAGTCACTCGAATGGATATATTTTGGAATAAGCATAAGAAAAAAAAGGGGTTTGAGTCATGCGATGGCACATAAAATAGAAATCAATTAGATAATTGAATTCTCTCGATTTGTTTTGCCATTTAGCTGTCTTTATTCTCAAAGTTAGTTCCTTGCTTTATCTCAATTCCTCAATCTCATTTTGTCTTGATCGTTATTGACATATTTTAATGGAAACTTTATTCAACTTTTCTTTTTTGTTCATTTATAGGTTGAATGTAAAAAAGCACAACCGAAAGAAGTGATGCTTCCAGCAAATTTAGCGAAAACGCGCACAGCTGGACGTGGAACATACGGTGAGTTGGTAGTATTGAGCGGTGGACCATCAGGAAGCTCATTAGGAGCATCTGTTGGCCAACCTACAGCCGCTGTACGCTATACTCCTTATCCTTTACCTGCTGCAACGGCAGGTCATCAGCAAGGCAGCGCTGCTACACAAATTTTACCGTTAACGACAAATCCAACTTCCATAATACAGTATGCAGCAGCTCCATCAATAACCGTTGGTGCCAGTACATCAAATTTGTATGCTGATGCTGCCGCAGCAGCATTATCATACAAGAGATTATTGGCAACAACGGCCGCCGCAGCTGCTGCATTACGTTCTCATCATCATCATCATGCAAGACCACAACAGTCGCATGCTGCTCTCACTTATCCGCTTGGTGATTTGCTTGGAGTTCAAGGTCTTGATTTATCTGGACTCTATCAAATACCAACGGCTTCTATTGGTCTTTGACCGAATCATAATGCCAATACTACAATCATTCAAGTACAACGTCCTCAATAGAATTTAATTCAATTTCTTCTGAGATGAAAATAATGAAGAAAAAATAAAAAAAAAATGAAATGAAAAAAATTGCTTGCAAGTCATTTCATACATCCAAAATGTACATATTCTCCTCTTCGTAAATCAACTTTCTATTGATTGAAAAAAAAAAGCTTGATTCACTGCATTCCTTTACTATCTATTCCCATATATAACATGATTTTCTAAAGTTCTTTTCTCATTGATTCTTCTTCTCCATTTTTCAATTTAATATTATTACATTTGATTGAAGTAAGAAGAAAAAGGAAATTTTGTTCGCTCAACTCGACTTCAACATTTTTTTTTTCTTTTTATATGATGATGTAGTTATCATAAATATATTATTAAATACACAACAAGATACTAGATATAGATAGACTTTTATAGTGGATTCTATAGATGAGAAGAAAAGAAAGTGAAAATAGCTTTATAATAATAATAATAATTCTCATTCCTTGTTACATACGTACTTAGTTTCACTACTCGATGTTAGTATGAAATAATATAAAAAATCATTTGCTGATCTGCTCTGCTGATGCGCTTGAAAAGATGATGCTTTTTGTGAGCTTTTTTTATTATTTACTTATTTATTTTCTTTTGAGATTTGCTTCTTCTTTAATTATTAGTTGGAATTTTTCAATTTTGGAGCTGATTCAGATTTGAAGGATGAATATTTTAAGACTTTTGGATTTTTATGAGTTGTGCTGGAATTTTGATGTGGTTGTGAATTTTTATAAGTATTTAATTTGTGCTGAATATCAATTAATATTGTTTAGGGGGTCTGAACTAGTTTGAAGATTTTACAGACTTCTTATCAACATCATAACTTAACTGACAGTCTCACTACTCATCTAAGTCCTTAAGTCTTAAAACATTTTACTTCATTCGTTCATTAAAAGTCTTCAAGAATATTTTAATCCTTCTTACAGAATTTTTTCCAAGCATTTATGAAATCTTGTAAGTAATTCGTTCAGATTATGAGCAATTACATGACGAACTTGATAAGATTTACTTCAAACAAGAATTACATCTCAAAATATCCAGCAAAATTCATAATTTTGTATCTTTATATAAATCATTGCCAACATGCATTCATTTCTAAGTCGTCAATCAAGAAAATATTTGAAAATATTATTTAATATTTTATAAAAGCTGCTTAGGGTGTCATTCAGATATGACGTCTATTTAAATGAATTTCTAGATCTCTAAATTTTCATGCATTTAGTCTGGAAGTTTAAAAAAGTTTTTGATTTGTTTTTCAATTAAAATTTCATTTAACGGAAATAAAACAACAATTTGAGGAAATTCCAGAAACAATTCTGTCCAACTTTTTTCTAAAATTCTCAAAAAAAAAATCCACAAAATGGACAATGCAGACTAAACTCAACAATAAATACTAAACTCATTCAAAACTGCCAATTCTCAATAAAATCCTCCAACATATTTCGCCTCAACAATAAAAAAAAAGTTAAAACAAAAAAATCCCTCAGCATGCAGCACAGCAAAAAAATTCATCTATACAATTTTAGTTCCATTCATTTTTTTTTTGTTATTTTCATTTGCTAGTAATCTAGTGATATCAATACATAGGAATTATTAGATTGAAAAGCAATTTTGATTGTTATCACGTTATAATGCTCGGTGGATTTAAACTCTTGTGTTCTTTATTTTCTGATATCTTATTGAGTGGTGGTTGAAGTAGATAGAAATTTTTATAGCTGAAAATATTGAAGATGGATAAAAAAAATTGTGTGAAAAACATCGAAATAGAATAGAATATGAAGGTGATAGACATTATGGATTAAACTTTACTGAATTTATTTTATTTAGTGCCAAACAATGATAGCTGCTTACATCCTTTTATAGACAACGAAGTGGATAACGTGTGATGATTTTCGTAGATAGAAGATTTTATTTAAATTAAACAAAAAAATAAATACATTGAGAATAGCTCGCATATAGAACATGATGTGCACAAATAAAAAAGTCGACAAACAAAGCTTATCACTTCCGCATTTAAATTTAATTTATCTTCAGGGACCCAGTTTGAATACGATACAAAAATAATTCTTAAGAATTTAGAAAGAAGAAAAAAATGGAAAATCAAAATGAAACAGACAATATATATTTTAGTAGAATCCATTGGTAGAAATTGAAGATTTCTTATTTTTCAATAGAAACATCAAGTACCAAAATAATATCAAAAGAACGAAAAAGACTAATTTTAAGGTAGAGAAAAAAAAAGAAAAATAATTTAAAGATTAAATGATTTGAAAAATGCAGTTTTTGAGGTTCATTTAAGAGTAATTTAACTGACTTTTAGGGATTTAAATAAAAACCTTTGACATGATTCAATTAATGACGGACACTGTACTGACTTTGATCAGACATCCTATCAGTCTTAAAGTAAGATTCAAATTTCGGGACAACAAGTTCAATTCATAGGAACTTAAATCTTTCGATTAGATGTTCAGATTTTGCATAAGATGTCACAAATCCTTGGAGTTAAACGTTGTCCCCGCCTCAATATCCTTTTAAACTTTTCAAAAAATTCAACATTCTACTGCCACGAAAACTAAGAAAATTATAAAGTGGACCACAATTAAGTTAAAAAATTTGAAATTTTTAAAGAAAATCTCTTGAATTTGAATTCAAATTTTCTACAAAAACATTCAAAACAATTTTAAATATCCTTAAATAACCATTAAAACTGCATCATTAACCTGACGTAACTTTATAGATTTTTATTAAAAACTAGATTTTTTTAATTTAATAATCAAAAACTTGGTCGATTAAAAAAATCCAGGAGAAATTTTCTAAACTTCTCCTATATCAAAATGAAGGAACCAAACCTCCTAGCAACTTCCAACACTTTTAACTTAGAAGTTAAAAATCGAAAAAATTGTGCCATCGTAGATGAAATTAATCTTATATTAACTCGTGTGATACTAGAATAGTGACAGATTGTGATGATTTTCTTTGACTTTTTTCTAGATAGAAATTTTTTTATAATGAACCAAAAAAACAATAAGAGAGAAATTTTAGTGACTTTTTTAGTGATCCTATAAAGAATTGTGTGATTTAAGTTTTTGCTAGTCTACAAATAATAAATTATAGAAAAGAATAATTTTAATTATAAAAGCAATCAGAACTGTGTAATGATTATAATGGTGTTGAGATTGAATGTTGATGGAATATCTATGAATAATTTGGATATTGATTAAAAAATTTCAAAAAAATTCAAATTTAATGTTATAAATTTAAAATTAAATCAAATTAAATTAAATTTTAAAAAATTAAGAAAAAATTGAGAAAAGAATAAACTTTAAAAAAATTCAAAAATTTTAAATCAATTAAATTATTAAAACCTAATTCATAAAAGTATGCTGAAAATTCCACCAATCATTCAATCTCGACAACAACAAAAAAGTAGTTGATTAAAAATGAAAAATTTATTTTTCTGAAGTGATTTTTCTAGATTAGAATCAATAAATGAGAGAGATTTTGTTTTTGATAGATTGATAGCTTTAGCTGAAGAAAAAAGTCGTGAGATGAGTTTTTTCCTTAATTTTATAACGAGTGAAAAATTTTAGTTTATGTTAAATATCGATTAGTGAGAAGACAACGACAAATGAACAAAAATAAAAACATTTCATGGAAGGAGGAAAAAAGTCGTGTGTTTAAAACCATTTTCCTCCTCAAGACACATTTACTTAATGCGAACATATTTCATTACTCAAATAACTCTCAAAATGGATTGTCATTAATTATATGTGCGTGTGTATGTGTATGTATATGAGATGCTGTCGCTGCTGCTGCCAAAAATGAAATGATGAGTTGGAATTAAGAAGATGGGAAGGAAGAGTTGAAGATGGAAATTACAACCCTCATTTACAACACAAGGATTTACAATCCTTACTCATATAACAAACAAAATAGCAGCAGCAGCCTTTCTCTTATTAATATTATTATTATTATTAATATTGCCATTTTAAAAATGAGCCTCACAAAAATTTTACTACAAAATACAGTCCATTTACAACTTTGAGCTGAGCTTCTTTTTTTACACATAGCCACATGCCTTTCTCAGTTCTTGTCTACATTTCAAAAGTATTTAGCATTTCAGCATACTTTTTGCAATGGAATGTAACTATTTATTTTAATATGTGAGATAAAATAGCTTGTTGGTGTTCACTAGATGCTGATGTTTTAGAACCTAGGAACTGCATTAATAAACAGTTTTGTATAAAGAATGTGGCGATTCAATCAGAAGTGTAGTAAGCTTGAGGAAACTATAGATTCATCAGTTCACAACCCCTGACATTGTCTCATAAAAATTCCAACTGAATTTTCCAAACCAAGAATTTCCAAAGAACAGCAAAAAAAATTTCCATATTTTTATCCTATTTCAGTCTAGTTCCTCGTTATTTTCTACTCAATAGACATGGAAACAAACTCATCATTCTTAACCTCATTATAAGAGAATTTATAAGAATGTAAAGGCACAAAAAAATTTCTCATAACTCATTAAATTTTTCTCTTGTGCTAGTTCTTTTAAATATTAATGCGAGAACTTTACTCTATCTTATTTAATTATTTATAAGAACTGCTTTAATTTGAGGGGTGACGAAAATTTTTAACAAGATTTCATTTCACTTAAAAAATTAAATTACAATGTGTGTAAAATGTATGTGAATATGATTTAATTTGAATTAATAATTTAATGTCTTTTACATTTATGATGAAGAATTTTTCAAGATGAATTCCTTGTGGGAAATGACTTTATGAGAATTGTTGAGGAAAATTTGCTCAAAAGTTGCTAAGAAACTAAGAATCTTGATGAGATTTTTTTGGATTAAGAGGCAGGTTTGATGAAAATTTAATTGGCTTTTTGGCTTAGGGATGCTTTTTTACTGAACTAAGAGAAATTTTGAACTTTAAATGTTCTTGAATATAATATTTTAAAAAATTCTAAGGAACTCTAAGATTACCTTTTAAATGCATAGAG